GTCTCTGGACTAATGCTGGACCAACATTACAGTTCAGGACCAACATGATCGGGCCCGATGGATTAATGTAGATGAAGAACTCAGGAGAGATTTGGGCAGTTTTAGTTGGTTTTCATGTTTTATTCAGTTGTGAATCTGTAACTTTATTTGATGTAAAGTCTGCTGATTCTGAAGCCAACAACATTGGCGTCTCCACTTCCTCCCACTGCAAGAAAATGAAGCCAAAATATCCTGGATAATACCCGGAGTGTGTGTGTGGTAGTGATCGGGGTTGGTGCCGTAGTATCACTCCCACACTCAGCTGTCCATCAGGATGTGAAACCACCTTTTTATAGCTTTAAATAATTAATTAAAACCAAACTGATCAGGAAGATGAACTGAATGAATGTTTCGGCTTCACTGTTGGCGAGCTGTCATGTGGTCCATCTTTATAAACGTTGATGGTTAAAACCTGGACTTGGATTCAATTAATAAAACAAAACACTCAGCACTCAGTTTACCATCATTTCAAATATTTTATTCAAATTGTTTTTAATCGCTCAGATTCTGACAGATTTCAACGTCTCGCTGCATTTTTGTGAAAACCTTTAATGTCCCACCAACCTTTTAAATGTTAAATATCAACCAGAAAAGAAATCAGAGCCCCCACTCAGAAATAATCAACATACAGAGAGAAAGTGATACGTCAACACGTTAAAAGTCAAATATCTCCGTCTCTAAGAAAGCAAAAGTCAGGGGACTGTCTGTGGATTAGCGCCCCCTGCTGACTCTCCAACACCCCATCAGCAGTTTTATTCACTGGATTGTAAAGTTTCTTTCCTCCACATTAATTTGTTATCGTCTGAGCTCTGGAACAAAGACTGAACGGATGCGACACAACGAGACAGTTTCATCTAGTAAAACAGCAAAAACATGTAGTTACATTAATTCTAACGAGCTATGACACAAAGTGTAAGCCAAACGCAGACGGCAAATACATTCTCTACTGCGTTTTTACAAATTCCAGGATCAGTTTTTCCTTTAAGATTTTTATAGATGAAGATGAATTTGTTCCGTCTCGACTAACTCAGCTGAAAGAAAGCAGCGAAAAGTCTTCAGGTCAACAGTCAGATATTGTATTTTCACTACTTTTCGTCTCCTTAAAAACTCCGTCCGTCGGTCGTCTTTTAGTGTTCTAGTCAGTTATGTATCACGTTCAGCTAACCAGTTAGCCATCATTCTACAGGGATGGTTCAATGGAAACATGCTATCTAAAGCTAGAGCCAGGTGACATTAGCTTAGCATAAAGACAGGAAGCAGCCAGCTGAATATGAAACCAGTCAGTGAAACAGCTACTTATTTGAGACTAATGAAAATGTAATTTTTGGGGCCCATTTTAGAACAATATATCATACATTTTGCCAATATGTTTATTTATACCATTAGACGATATTAATGAATGATTTCACTAACACCTACTCAGTGCTGTCCTCAGGTATTAATCGCTTTAATGTTGTGATCAATGTTGGCAATCAGTAAGTGTCAGGTATTTAATTCAACATTCCCATCTGGTTATTTGATCTATGAAAAGGTCACATTGTGTAGTAATTACACTTCTTCTAATGACCTCAAGTTATTTTTTAATTAGCCGACACAAACATGCTGCATATAATACAAACATGAGGGATATTTGCTCTTTTATGAAATCCGGACAAAGGTCATTAGCTGTTGTTGATTTCCTTCAATAAATTGACACTAATCAATAAATCCAAAAAAGGAGGAGGAGATGGACATTAACAGAAGACCAGCTGATTTTCAGGATTTCAGTTGTTTCAGGGTGAAAGTTCATTCTTGACTTTGGAAAAATAAGTTTAACAAACAATAATCTTTACTAAAAGGTCCACTTACTTGCTTTTTTGGAACCTCGGACCGTTAGCTTGGCCTCTCAGTTAATTTTCAGTTTCCCCGGGGGCGATAGATCTACTGTTTGACGTAGTGCTGGGCGACACGTGCGTTTAGTGGTGGTCACAAACGTTACAGTAAAAAATACGTTTTAAACATTTTAGGTGAGAAAAAAATCAATGCAGCCACAAAATCTTGATTTATTTTGGGTCAGCACTGCCTAGTTTGACAGTTTGTTCTGGATCTTATGAGCCTGTTGTGTTGTCCCACAGGCAATTGGACAAACCTCCAACCAATCAGAGCAGTGAAACGTCTGACTTCTCAAATGTGAAACACTGACACGCCAATAGTTTTAAACCCGCCTCACATTAAAGAAATGGTTGTGATTGGCCCGACCGGATCCAGGACTGCTGGAATTCAGTTTGGAAGAGTGGCCAGATGCATAGTCTGTTTCACACAAAAAAAGCCAGTAAGTGGACCTTGAGTTGAGATTTTTTTTGATATTGATTAATGGTTGTATTTTTTTAGTGCACTGTGTGAGACAATATTGATGAATGTGTAATAAGCCAATAGTGATCAGTAATGAGGTTTTGATCTGGTTTTTCTCCGTCAGTCAGTCCGTCAGTCCGTCACAGTGCGACACAGTGTAAGACAAGGGCAGCCATTGTTGCAGACTGATTTCCATCACGTCCTCTGACGGCGAGCTGAACGTCTCTCTTCACAGGATGGCCTCAGTATGTGTGTGTGTGTCCTGAGCTCGCTGCGGGCCAGATCAGTGACAGATAGAGCGGCGCTGCTGGGGAGGAAAGAGGGGGATGGGAGGGATGGAGGGATCAGATCGGAGGAGGACAAAGGACTTCATTCTTTGCCGGTGGTGAGGAGCTTCAGGGCTTTCTGGAGGTTCTGGATGGCCGTGCCGACGTCCTCGTACTGCAGGGCGCTGCCGGCGTACTTGCAGTACTTCTGGGCCTTGGTAAAGTCCTCTTGGGAGAGATTAACACTGCCTGGAGGGAGGGATGGAAGGCGGGGTGACAGGAGGAGGAAGGGGAGAAAAAGAGGAAGATTGGAAGATGAGAGGAAAGAAGAAAGTGAAGAGGGGGGAAAAAAGACAAAGATCGCAATCAGATATCAGTTCATGTACAACAACTAAAATCAGAGGAACACTGAGGAGAGATCGCTCTTGATTACTGACTCATTGAGGATGACAACAGCAGGAGAAAGAGGTCGACTGATGATTGATGCTCTACGATCCAAGAAAAACTCAAAATGAAGGTTTCTAGGGGAGCAACCGAACGTGTATTGGACCCGAACCGCTTGGTACAGGATATTAGGTACAGGATGTTCAGTTAAGTCTGACCCATGATTTTTGTCTGCAGTCAGAATTTTGCATAATAATTTGTCAGGGGTTAACTACAAGTTATTTTCAATGTAGATCTGTCCAGTATTTGTCTGGTCTTAAACCAAACATTTACACAAACTGAAAAAAAGCTGCAAAATGTCACTTCTGAGAAGCTGCAACCATAAACTGACTGATTCAAGTATTCTGTTTTTAAAATGTTCTTTCTATTGACTCTTTTCAGTGTTTCGAAGATCCTCTTTCCAGCAAAAAAGAAGAACAAAAACCTAGAAGAGAGAGAAGTGGACTGAGAAAAG